AAATCTTTCACGCATTATTATTATTGGGAAATAGATCCACCATTCAAATACACAACAGGATGAAATATATTCTTTTTATTTACATTATATTCGAAAATCATCAATAATTTTCTAACACCTATTTACAACACTTATAATGATATGTATAAAAAAATCGAATAGAAAAAAGTCCATTTCTCATTTAAAATCTACTATAATTTATATTTTTTTTCTGCATTTATTTTTCATCCTCATTAAGTGTTAAGTATTTTTCTTCGTGCTTTTTTTTTTAGTGTGTGGTTTTAAGGCTGTGTGTTAAGGTCGTATCCACCGCCGTCAGAGGTAATGTTTCAGGGTCACGTCATTGGCCTGAAGGTTTATTATGATCTCTCTCTTTGGTTTAATCTTAAGGGAAAGTTATTAAACCATCTCTAAGGGAAAGTTATTAAAACCATCTCTAGGGGAAAGTTATTAAAACCATCTCTAGGGGAAAGTTATTAAAACCATCTCTAGGGAAAAGTTATTAAAACCATCTCTAGGGGAAAGTTATTAAAACCATCTTTAGGGGAAAGTTATTAAAACCATCTCTAAGGGAAAGTTATTAAAACCATCTCTAGGGGAAAGTTATTAAAACCCTCTCTAGGGGAAGTTATTAAAACCATCTCTAGGGGAAAGTTATTAAAACCATCTCTAGGGGAAAGTTATTAAAAACCATTCTCTAGGGAAGTTATTAAAACCATCTCTAGGGAAAGCTAAAACCATTCAAGGGGGGAAAGTTATTAAAACCATCTCTGGGGGAAAGCTAAACTATCTCTGGGGGAAAGTTATTAAAAACCATCTCTAGGGGAAAGTTATTAAACCATCTCTAGGGAAAGATAAACCATCTCTGGGGAAAGTTATTAAAAACATCTCTGGGGGAAAGTTATTAAAACCATCTCTGGGGAAAAGTTATTAAACCATCTCTAGGGGAAAGTTATTAAACCATCTCTGGGGAAAAGTTATTAAAACTATCTCTAGGGGAAAGTTATTAAAACCATCTCTAGGGGAAAGTTATTAAAACCATCTCTAGGGGAAAGTTATTAAAACCATCTCTAGGGGAAGTTATTAAACCATCTCTAGGGGGAAAGTTATTAAACCATTTCTGGGGGAAGTTATTAAAACCATCTCCAGGGGGAAAGTTATTAAAACCATCTCTAGGGGAAAGTTATTAAAACCATCTCTAGGGGGAAAGTTATTAAAACCATCTCTGGGGAAAAGTTATTAAAACCATCTCTAGGGGAAAGTTATTAAGCCACCTCTGGGGGAAAGTTATTAAAACCATCTCCAGGGGAAAGTTATTAAGCCACCTCTGGGGAAAAGTTATTAAAACCATCTCCAGGGGAAAGTTATTAAACCATCTCTAGGGAAAGTTATTAAAACCATCTCTAGGGGAAAGTTATTAAGCCACCTCTGGGGGAAAGTTATTAAAACCATCTCCAGGGGAAAGTTATTAAACCATCTCTGGGGAAAGTTATTAAAACCATCTCCAGGGGAAAGTTATTAAACCATCTCTGAGGTTTTTTTATGGTCTTAGTGGGGATAACAACAAACCTCATGGGAGTAAAATTTTCACCTTTTTTCTGCCGATATGTTGAGCATATTTTGTTGTTTTCTTTGAGGCACCATTAATAAAACCTCTTGAGCTCGATGTGGAGAAAATGAGATACAGCTCTTGTTGATATCTCAGTTATGAATGAGTAGACTGATCAAGAACTTCTTTTACTATTTAATTTGATCTAGTTTAACAGCTAAGTTCTGACTGGCTACTTTTATCTATTAATAAAAAAATGTCCATTCTTGTGGTATTAAGATTTTTTTTTCCTCTGTCTAGGTGTTTATATCAGCTATTCTCTTCAAGACTTTATAATCAACATAAACAATCAAGTAATCCTCTAGTGATCACTCCTGATGACCTCTTATCTGCAATACAACCAAACAGCCCTTAATGAGTCACCCTATACTAGTTTGTCTTCCTATCAATGCCATTTACATTTCCATCTAAACACACCAGAGTCAAGATCCTCGTGCCTATGTCAAATGAACCACACAACAAAATAATAAAGGAATTTTGACAGAGTGTTTTAAGGGGGACTCTTTCTTCACCCCCCCCATTCACTCCCGTCTAAACTCCCTGAAACGGACGTATTGTAAGATTTTATGAGATTAATCGTAAGTGAAATAACAAGCAAAGAATACTATTAACTTACTAACATCCACTGATATACGAAGCAATATATTCTGTGTATCTACCCATAAAAAGAGTGTTGATTTATAAGTTTATAATAGAATGTACAGTGAGTGAAAGAAATTACGACTGTTGACACATTATAGAAGCCACACTGCTTTAGTAAACAACAACAACAACAACTTGTATCGTAGAATGTGGCCATGACTAATGCAGCTTAAAACGTGACCCATGTTATGTGTGTGTCGTAAAGGTTTGTTAAATATGTCTGAGTGCTCCTCCAAGGATCTAATTTACATAAAGTGAAAGCCTATATACTATACTTACTGGGCTCTGATGTACTCTATATTAAGCGTGTGTCAGTGGTGCCTTGTGTACACTAGAGGAATGCACTCCAAGGATCTCATAGGTGAATAACATATCTAGTCTCTGTCTGCTCTACCTGGGAATCCTATTATGCAGTGGAAATTTAGAGACTTCAATCCAACTCGGTGTTTTTAAAGCCATAAAGTGTTCAGTACAGAATAAGTTTTACGTTTAGAATGTGTTTTCCAGTATCTATTCTTGTAACCTTCCCTTCAAAAGGATTCCACACATAACCGAAAAGAGACTACGTATTAAACACTGTTACAGGGACCTTTAAGATCTTTACATAACTGGAGTTTGTGTCACTGTGTTAACAAGTCGACACAGAAGGATAAACTAACTACTGGTTGGTGTGAGTGTGTCTGAGCCTTCACTGTGCGCGTGTACACCCAACCTGTTCACCAGAGAAACTCCGGCAGCTGCCATTAACACTGCATCGAGTTTGACACTTTAGGAAATAGACAAAATTCTATCAGATAATTGTTATTAGAAAATCCTTTCACTTCCACATAAAAACATTAAAAATTTCTGACAAAAAAATAACAATGGTAATATCTTTTAGGTCTATAAACATGAATTGATATTGGACAAAAATCTTTCAATATAATTATAACGAATGTCTAGTTCACGAAGAAAAATAAAATATAGGACAAAACAATATCAGTAATTAATGCCAAAAATTGATTTAATTTTCTTTTTAAAGGTCTGAGGAATCTGAGAAGGTTATGTGGTGAACACGATCCCGGTCAAGAACTGTTAAGGTCACGTATGTTGACCTTACCACACACACAATAAAAAATGAATCTAAAACTTTCTGACCGTATCAACAGAACCTGTAAAGTAACAAGTGTGTTTGTCAAAAGATTTATAAAGGCCCCAAAGCCCCTTTCCCTTTCCTGACAAAGCAGTAAAAAAAAGAAAGAAAAAAGAATGGGTCCAGACAATTACTTTTCCCTGTGTTGGATAAGATTTACTATAAGCCCAGCCAGACTATGTGTGTCTGCCAGCCTCAGCAAAACATGTGTAGGAGAAGTAATTCATCTCTCGAATGTATGGACAAAAGATTCGATCCCTCAATTAAGGTGTCATCTGTTAGATTACTATTATAAAAAAATTTCAGAACGTTGACATGATGACAAGGACAAAAGAGTACAACTGATCTGTAGGTGATTACTGAAGGAACCTAACCCATGACTGTCAAAAAATGTGTCATTGGATTTCCTTCCTCGTTTTTTATCCTCTATGATACAGGTTAGTTCCTAAAACACGTTAAGACTTCATCAAAGCTTTAACTCATCTTTAACTCAAGGAAGGGATTTATTGAACCTTCACATGACTGTAGAGTGGGAGAGGGGGTCCTAAACGACTATCTTTCTCCTACATCTACGGTGGGTCGGGATAGTCTCTATGTCCAACTAAATCTATTGTTCTATTTCTATTTATAGTTCAGAGTGTACGTAGGAGTATGGACAGGGAGGGAGGCAGTCTCTGTATCGTGGGAACATCTACTGGGAGGCTGTGATGATGGCCGAGACCTTCCTCCCGGCAGTCAGTCGGGTCACCAGGAACAAAATCCACTTATGTACTGCTGTTACGAACATCCGACAAATATGATACGAATATATAGTGTACAGTCGAGTTCTTTACTAACACGTCACACGTTATGAGTGTTGCTTTAGTACGAGTACAAACTTTCGTCAGTTTATACTAAAAGTAAATGAAATTGGATCTTGTACTCCGAGTAAAAACGACCGATTGTGTTGAGCGTTAATCAGTGTATCAGATGTTAGTCATGGAAGACATTAACTCCAGGTGATGGTTACACGTCAAGGTTACAAAGGTTGGTGTCTCCTGCTCTGGTAAACAATTTGTCATTCAGAATTATTTGTAGATATAGAAAAAAAACTTCATATTTTTCTCATCAGATATAAGCCGTTCTTTATCATACACTCCCATATATACGTCATCGTTCTCTCTCACCCAGACCACTATGTCAGCCTATACACGCAGAACCATATTCTCTAAGGGTCTCCTGCATGCTTAAAAATCTAAAGCAAGCAGATGGAGCCAAATGACTTCTTCGTTCGCAGTCTCTTTTATAAGTCTACGTATGAAAAATAATATATACTTCATTTAAAAATGCTTTTATAAGAAAAGTATCATATAGAAATATAATCATACTCAAAAAACGCAAGCCGGAGAAGAATACAAAAACAAAACAAAACTCAAGGCAAAAATTACAGTCAATGCGGCACACTAGTCACGCAAAAATATCTAAAAAATTAGCTGCTGGACAATCCTTCTTTATACTGCAACTAGCGGTAATAATATACGGCACTTGCTACTACGACTATAGCATATATATATATACTGTATATACTGTTAAGTAAGTTATACAGCACTGGGGAGGCCAATATGTATAAAACTCCACCTCTGTGTTGACTCCGTCCCCGGTAGATTGTTGTGTATCCGTGGGAGGTTTGACTTCCTTCACCAAGCTCGTGGCTCTACTAAACGACGCCTTTGTGGCACTCATGAAATTACTAAAAATTCCCTTCGAAGGTTCTGAAACGAGAAGGTTCATCCGTCATTGGTATGGACACACAGGAATATTACCCCCATCCAATAAGTTCAATCAAAGAGAGAGAGAGAGTATTTCAGTGATGGCAAAAACAACTGTCGCAAAAAACAAGGGAGGGGGGAAATTCATATCTTATTGTGCTTTGGTCTCGACTGTAGTGCATCAAACTTAGCTCAGAATAAAGACCGCAAAGTTGACAAAGGATTTCAATGGCACTGTGAGCTGAAGACAGACTACATAACGAAAGGTGATGAAAGGAAATAATCACACGTAGAAGATTGGATATGGATAGACATGCAAAAGGAAAGGATTGGAGAAGAGGATGATGAGGGAAATAATGAGAAATAACAGGTCTTGGAGGCCAAACAAGGACCAGAAGGAGATCACATCAGAGGCTAAGCCAGAGAAATATATGTAAAGCTTGGAAGGAAAGAGAAACCCTGAAAGAAATAGAGAGGTTTTCTGGAATACAACTGAGAGAAAGAGCTGGAGCTGGAGGTAGAGAAGTCAAAGTTTGTTGGGGGCTGGAAGAGAGAGAGTCTTTGGAAACTTAAATGTGTGAGTTTCCTGGAAGCTACAAGAGACATAATGGTAAAAAAGATACGAGGCGACAATTGAATGGAAGCTGGAAAAAGATCTTCAGGAAATAAGGAGAGGAAACAGGCAAGCATTGAAAGGAGGTTTTTATGTTAGATTTCGAAAGCAAAGATCTGAAACAAAAACGATGTAGATATTGATGACTTAAGAAAAAAAAAAGAGAAATAATTGATTGGGATATAACTAGATGTAAGGAAGGTAAAATATCCTCGTGATGGTAAATAATATTAATGAACTCACAGTGCCAACGAGACAGGAACAACTTCACACACGTAAATAAAAATTGAGAAAATTGGCGAAAATGACAATAAATCAAATATAAACTATACTTATAATCTTAAAATGAATGGGAGTCGAGCTCTTCATAAAGGATCCTACAATTAATAATTATTGAAATGGAACTTTTTCTTACAAGGTGTTGAAACATTATAAGAGGGACGAGCTGTACCCAATTAGAACCACACTTCAGACAGCTTCTCCTAAGGATTCGTAGCAGCTGCAGAAGTTTAGCATTAACGAGCAGCTGGGTAGTTTACGAAGGGAGCGATACAAAAAAAAATAGAGAGGTGTTCTTTTGACAGCCAAAGAGATAAAAGGCCCTGGGACGACGATACAGCAAAGGCAGATAAAGGAGAACTTCACATGGGTGGGGCCAAGAGTACCAAGCAAGGTGAGGTCCTGTGTTTCTGGTCCTAACCTTTCTTCTTGGTTGCGGCTTTATCTTCGCCTCCACCAGGATCAGGCTTGTCTGGGGACTTGCTCGAAGCTGTCTCCTTGGCTGCTTCACTCTGGGCCGCATCCTTTTCTGTAGAGGATTTAGCTGCGTCAGTGTCTTGTTTACTACCATCGTCGGCCTGTTTGTCGACGTCACCCGTCTTTTTACTGTTGGTTTCTGTCACTATGCTGATGTCGTCTGACTCTCTGCTGACGTTGCCCTCCTGTTTGCTCAGTTTTTTGTGTTTTTTTAATCTGCCTTTCCTCTGTTTGCTGTCGTCATTACCCTGTTTACTAGCCGCTTTAACTGAGGTTTTGCGTTTGATGGTGCCAGTGCCTCCTTTACCCACGTGACTGGCCTCCTTACTGTTGTCATCGTCACTAGCAGGGTTCTTATCGCTGTTTAGACCAGTTGCCTCCTTGTCAGTTTTTTTCACGTTTTCATTCGTATTCTCCTTAGCACTTGCATCCTGACTGATTGTTTGCTTGGCCTCTGTCACCTGGTTGTCTGCTTGATTACTAACAGTAATTTTGAAAGAAACTTCTTTGACTTTTGAGGCTTGACTGACATTCTTTTTGACTTCCGAGGCCTGACTGTCATTCTTCTTGACTTCTGATGCCTGACTGACATTCTTTTTGACTTCTGATGCCTGACTGACATTCTTCTTGACTTCTGAGGTCTGACTGACATACTTCTTGGCTTCTGAGGTCTGACTAACAGTCTGATTGGCTTCTGAGGTCTGACTGACATTCTTTTTTACCTCTGAGGCCTGACTGACATTCTGATTGGCTTCTGGGGCCTGACTAACAGTCTGATTGGCTTCTGAGGTCTGACTGACGTTCTCTTTGACTTCTGAGGTCTGACTGACGTTCTCTTTGACTTCTGAGGTCTGACTGACGTTCTCTTTGACTTCTGAGGTCTGACTGACGTTCTCTTTGACTTCTGAGGTCTGACTGACATTCTCAGTAGCATCTGTGTCCTCTCCGCCAGGGGCCTGTGTGGCTTGCCTCTTGATCCCAACAGCATGGGCAGCCTGTGCGGTCATGTCAGCAGCCTGCGCCATTTTGGCCGATAAGAAATTTCCGAAAAATCCCATCATCGTTTCTGAAAACATAATACTGTAGTGTTTTTTGGGTGTACATTTTTCTTTTTCCGTTTAATTTCTCTCTCTTTATTTCTAGATAAGTAAACATTGAATTTAATTCTACAAAACAAATAGATTTAAATTGAAAATAATCCCAAATAATTAATCTAGGACAAAAAAACAACTAATTTTTTTGGTTATAAAAGTAAAAACAAATATTCAAATCTTAAAAAAAAAACAATGCTAAAACACATCTAAATAAAAAAAGAAAAACATTACTTTTTCTCAGACTACTTGAAATTACAACTGAAGGTGACGACACAAAAGTACGTTTTTAGAGAGGATGGTCATCATGTAGTGGTCTTGTTGAAGGCTGTATATTACCGGTTTCGTACGTCAAAATTTCTCTACATTTTTTTTCCCATTACTTTCACACTTGGGTTAAGCTAATACCCCCCCCCCCCGAACCCAGATTAGGAGCCGAACCTACATTTTCATATTAAAAACAGGGGATTTAGCCAGGCCATGATAAATTATGTTCAGGATAAGTTAAGTTAGCGGTACCTTAGACTTGGTTATGTTTGGTTAAGTTATGTTGGGATAGTTTATAGGGGAAAGCTAGGTTAGGTTAGGTTAGTTTCGGGGTAGCTTGTTTTAGGGTTGGGTTAGGTTAGGTTAGGTTAGGTTAGGTTAGGTTAGGTTCGGGGTAGCTTGTTTTAGGGTTAGGTTGTGTTATATTTGGCTTAAGTTAGGTTAAGGTTTGGTTGAGTTAGGTGAAGCTTCTTTCGGGGTTAGGTTTGGTTAGGTTAAGTTAGGTTAGTTTAGGTGTAGCTTAGTTTAGGGTTAGGTTAGTTTAGGGTTAGGTTAGGTTAATTTACGTTAGGTTAGGTGAGGGGTGGATTAGTTTATGGTTAGGGGAGGTATCATTAGGGTAAGGTTAGGTTAGGTTGCGTTAGGTTAGGTTCCGGCTCTGGGTTCGGGTATGAAAGACCCCCCTCTAACCTTTCATGTTATTCATATCCTTCAACTCTATTGGTTTCACTGGTTCTGTAGAAGCTGCTGTAGCTGAAGGGTTATCAGAGGTAGTGAAAACATTCGTAGAATCGGTAGTAGTCGCGGTAGTAGTCGCAGTAGAAGTAGTAGTAGTAGCGGTAGTAGTAGTAGCGGTAGTAGTAGTAGCGGTAGCGGTGGTAGTAGGAGTACTGGTGGTAGTAGTGGTAGTAGGGATAGTGGTGGTAGCTGACACAGTAGAGAACTGGTCAAATGATCCACTAAAAAGGTTGCTGAAAAACTCCATAACAGAATCTGTAACTTAGAAATAATAATAAAAAAAAAATCCTTCAGAATCAAAAAGAAATGTTCTCGTCAAAATCAATTAACCTGGAGATGTTTGGTACAGGTGAAACATTTGCAGGACACTTGAAAAGAACAAACAAAATGTAATATAAGAAACATTACTTGGTATAAATAACAGAATTGAACCTTTTTAAATGGTTTTAGTGAAAATTAAAGATTTGGAAATAATCAAAATGAAAAAAAACTGCATACAAAATGTAGATTGAAATAATATGATTGCTGTTGTACAAGAAAGTTATTTTAACTTCAAATAATATTATTGAAATATTCTTAAGAGGAAAAAAAAATCTAACCTTTCATTGGGATCTTTTCGTCGTTTAGCTGATCCAAGTTTTCAGGTTCGTCTATGGAAAGTGAGCAGTAGTGAGAGAAAAGAGAAAGGTTAATGTATTAACTTGTAAGACACGACACAAAGACTGACAATAAGCAAGAACTGGTTACTGGCTTCATCAGCGCTGACTGGTCGACAAACTCTTTTAGGTACAGTAGTCTGTCAGTATAAACTGGTATTCATACAGCTGACAGATACAACTGGAAAAGAACCTCACTCAGGCCATTACCGTAACAAGTTGGCCACAAAAGTGATATATTTCTTAACAAATAATCAGAGCAGAGACAGAGAAATCAACTGTCGCTCTCAAACTCAATTCTTGATAACCGGAACAAATGCACGAACACGCTGGTTGACATACGGGTTACATTTTTTATACTATAACACGACCACTCATCTGACAGACAAGCAAAGGCGGTGTGAGCTTCGAATCACAATTAGCATCGCTCAAGACCTCCCTGGGCAGTACTCTGGGTATAGGGTCCAACCTTTAAGCCGAAGTTGTCTCACGTATGCAGGCATTCATCTATTTCTGTGCTGAGTGCCGCAGAATTGAATCCCAATACAAGGACAGACATAGTGACAACATTAATGCGCATTCTCTTAGTGACAAACAACTCCCGAATAATTCTTAACAAGTAACAAAATAAGGATATTATAAACAGTTTAAACTAGACACTGAAAGCTACTCTTATACTCTTACCCAATGATTAAAAATTTTCCGTGAAACTTCGAACTTTAAGACCTCGACACATTTCACTTCCCATTTCCAAAAGAGACATAACTCACAGCTCCACTGCTAATCAAGTCCTTAGTATTCAGAACGACCCTATGGCCTTCCCAAATAACCGATCAAAACAACATTTAGAATAACTTTCAGTAGCGCGTGAAACATGAACCTCGACGCCCTTGATGTGGGTTACTGAGCGATTGTCGATGATCTGGTAGCGAAGGTGAGATATTGAAGCAGTGATTCATTTTATACCCGAACCCGTAACCAGGCGGGGAGTAGTACACACACTAAACCTGGCAGTTAAAGGCTTAGGTGACCATATACATTAGTGGCAGGGTAGTAACCTTTAATAAGCTCTACCCTCACCTCACCTCATTGTCAAAATCGGGAAAACTAATAGCAAGATAGCCAACAAAAAGAGGAGGGAGACAGGCCATGACACACACATACACACACACACGCACTCCTATTGGGTGGTACAGGTTAGCCATCTTAGAGGTGAAGGTCCACACAACGTAGATTCAAAGTCGTGCAGGTTTTTGTCAATAAAACTACAAGAAACATGAACACCTGGTAAGCTCCTCGGTTCAGTTTAGATCGATAGTCAAAGCCCTAAACTTATAACATGTTCTCACAGTACACAAACAAACTTGGAAGACTTTAAATAGATGTGCTAAAATCCTTAAGTGGGTAAATAGGACTATCCAGATATCCAAGGATGATTTTTGTATACCAGAGGATAATGGATACTAAATCATTCCATTACCATCATCCGGTTCAAAACAGAAGGACTGCTCGAGACGTTGAAAGTGGACTGAGGTACTGTGTGTCAAATCATATTACCGGCATTTTGAGAAACAAGACTTGCGAGGTGTCGTAGCTAAAGATAAATTCCAATCTTCAATACAAACATACAAAAATGTGTGGCTTAACCTACTAAGTTCTCAAGGGATGAAAAAAGCGGCAGTATAACAAATCAAGCTCCAACAACAGGAAACTACTGCTGGCAGACACGTGTTGCTGATACCAAGACCTGGCTGAGAGGAGTGAGTGAGCTAAGACCCAACAGACAGAGTGCATGCGTGTATACTTGAGTCACGTCACGACCTGGGACCATCCTCGAAAGAAATCCCTTTCTTCTTTTGAGGGCAACAGTTATAACGCATGATACCAAAGATTGAATTAACAAGAGCTAACAACAGCTTACAATACCCAGCCACTAATGCGTAAGGACGCTTGTGTTTTAGGAAGCGTATTTATTGAGCCACTTGCCGGAAGACATTGGGCTTTAAAATTGTCTCTGGTACTGAATTCTTCCACGAGTGATTTTTTTTTACACCGGTTTCAGCCAGACGATTGTTTTTTTTTTAAGAACTCACAAAGTCACCATCTGTTTTTGTTTTTCTCTCGCGCAGATTTATCCTTTTTGTTTCTCGCTATCTATTGTTCTGTCTACCTCTAACTATCTCTATAACTAAGTACCTCTTTCGTTGACTGTTTCATTCCAGGTAACTTACTGCCATTATGTCAGCTCTCTTTTACTCACCTACTATATTTCTTTTTTCTCTCTCACTGTTTACGTCTCTTACTCTTTTTTTAGTTTCCTTTTTTCTTTCTATATCAATCTTTTATCACTATATCACTAGCTCTCTCACTCTTTTATTTCACTCCTTCATTTTTACTCATTTACTCTCTCACATTTTCTCTATCTCTTCATCTCCCCCCTCACTCTCTCTCACCTCGTCGTCAGACAGGTGTTAGCCGCAGGACCCATGCACCAGGTACACGCCCCCCAGACGGCCATGCTGCTACAGTACTGCTATAACACGACACACAACTAGGACAAGCACTACAAACAAACCCTCAGGACCAGGTCTGTTTGGCTAAGGTGAACGTCGTTGCATATTTTAGGCAACTCCAGGAAACTGTAATTAGTATTGGTTTGATCAAGTAATTTCAGGTTATTTGTGGTAATACCTGAGTGACCTCAGGAGAATACGACGTTAAACCAAGACTGAATGAATGTTACTTAGTATAGTCAAAACGAACATAAATGACATGTATTAATAATGTTGATTTTGATGAAAGTTTATGGGGCTCTTCTTTACCAAGGTAGTGTTCGTCTGGCGTTAAATTTCTCCCGTCAGCGTGTCAGTGCTGTGTAGAGAGGAACGTCAGGCGGTGCTGACCGTTCGTGAGGGCACTTTATAAAGGTATACTTAAGTCATGGCCAGACCCGGTCCAGACTGTTTGTATCATGAGTTTTCTTCTTTCCCATGACTGCTGCTTCGTAACGACCTCCTCCTCTTACGTCATCACTACGTCACTATCACCTGCTCTTACGTCATTACTACGTCACTACCTACTCCTCTTACGTCATTACTACGTCACTACCTACTCCTCTTACGTCATCACAGTGCAAGGAGCCATTCTTTTACTGGGCCAAAGACAAAGATCTTTTAGTCATACTCCAAGACTCTAGATACAAGAACGACCTGAAGAAAATTTCCAAGATTTCTTTATATTCCCCAAAGCTACGGGATTCTAATTTATAGATGGGGCGTCATCTTCATCTAGAAGAGACTACTAGTTAGTGTAGAGAGAGATATATAGAAATTAGACGGCCGTCATTCCCAGGTGGAGACTACAATAAAACACTTTGTAATGCATGAGGCGAGACGTGATTTACCGTGTGTGTGATCTTCTGGCTCACCTTTAACTGAACTGTAGAAATAGAAATAGAAAACAGATTTAGAAGGTCCGTCAGAGTCGTATGGCTGGAGGAGCTAACTAAATCTTTGAGCATAAGACATATTTATATGTAATGCGTAAGACATTGTTCTCTGTCTCTCAGGTCCCGGAACTATGGGGAGCGGTTAGTCATAATTATACTGTTATACTGAAAAGAGGAAATGTTAAGACAAGATTAATTTCAAGAGGACCTGGCGTCTGTCACAAGTTTTGCCGAGGCTAAGCATAAGAAAAAACAAATATGAAAATGTTGATGGTTGATGCTTATCTGTGTATGTGTGTCATGGAGGAGCAAGGCTAATGGTAGGGTTACCATCACGACCGCAGGTGCCGTTTCATGTTGTTTATAGGTTAGGTTAGGATAGATCAGGTTCGGTTCAATATGAAATTTCTTTTCAGCTCTCAGCCAAATAACCTGACCTAACCTGACCTAACCTACTGTATACACAACATAAACAACAGGAAACGGAACATTTTCACAGGAATTTTACAGTGTGTTCTGATTCGATACATTGACTTGTGTGTGTATCAAGATATATATATATATATATATATATATATATATATATATATATATATATATATATATATATATATATATATATATATATATATATATATATATATATATATATATATATATATATACAGTATATATATATTCGTTTCTGTTCTTTTCTATTAAATATTTTTCCGTTTTATAAATATAAATATCTGTTCATACTTCTAAATAAATATAATTTGATTAATAATCAATCATCAAGCCCAACAGCCAGTAGGATTAAGAATAAAACAGATTAATTAACTGGGAAAATTTTTTTCCAAAACAAAATCATTTTCTTTCACGATTAGAAAACTTTCCACTTACAATATCCTAAGTTAAGTATTTCGTAAACCGCCTTTTGAAGTTTTTACAGTCTTAAGGTGTGAATAGTACAAGACAAATAAACTCATTATCGTGGCTTAAAATTATTAAGAAATTTGTGAAAAAAATGAACTTAAGTTTTCCATGATCCCAACGTATAACAAAGAAAACCTAAATGACTGAACTTGTCGTCAACGTCCCTCATGTTGGCATATGACCAGAGGCAGACGAAGCTTATTTTTCACGCCCACGTTAGGCAGTAAATGCTTAAATCACATGATATAGTTCCTGCTCCATCGATGGTCTCATAACACTGTGACGTCCCTCGAGTTAAGACGCCGTCAACAATTTGCCTGACCTCTTGTCAACCACTGTGTTCTTAAATATTTTTCTCCATTTTTACCGTGGATGATCCTGAGCTCTATTTGTAAACTCAGAAGAAGAATGACGTGCTAATCACATTAGTGTAACAGTGATGCGTCTTTAAACTATGTTTGTTACTTCTAAACCACTTGTGTTCCTGAAAATAAAACTTGAATAAGCTAGCATTAACATCCACTATACTAATCCTATCTTAGGTTAATTGCTGGTGATTACGTTTGGTTCGGTTAGCTCGTGTACAGTAGTTTACTGTCAACAAATTTTCTTCATTGTTTACCTAACCTATCCTGTCCTGACCTGACCTGACCCAACCTGACCTGACCTAACCTAACCTGACCCAACCTGACCTAACCTAACCTCAATATTCTTAGCTTTATCTCACTTAGTAATCTCTCCTGGAGCTTCCACGTCTTCAACTCATCAAACAATATAACCAAAAAATCGAATCACCTTTCAGCAACATCTTTATATACTGTAAAGATCGTCTCAATACATCTTCTTACACATTATAAGACTCATCATATCTGTCTTTACAAGGAATATTGCTCAATCTTACTCACCAGTTGAGAAAATAACTGAGTTCTTTGTTATCACCACCACCACCACCACCAGTCCCTTCACTATCATGTTACACTTCTTCACCCTTCACTATCATGTTACACTTTCTCACCTTTCACTATCATGATACACTTCCTCGCCCTTCACCATCATGATACACTTCCTCACCCTCTACTATCATGTTACACTTCCTTACCCTTCACTATCATTTTACACCTCTGCACCTTTCACTATCATGATACACTTCCTCACATTTCACTATCATGATACACTTCCTCACCTTTCACTATCATGTTGCACTTTCTCACCCTTCACCATCATGATACACTTCCTCACCCTCTACTATCATGTTACACTTCCTCACCCTTCACTATCATGTTACACTTCCTTACCCTTCACCACCATGTTACACTTCCTCACCCTTCACTATCATGTTACACTTCCTCACTCTTCACTATCATGTTACACACCCTTCACTATCATGATGCACTTCCTCACCCTTCACTATCATGTTACATTTCCTCTCCCTTCACTGTAATGTTACACTTCCTCGCCCTTCACCATCATGATACACTTCCTCACCCTCTACTATCATGTTACACTTCCTCACTCTTCACTATCATGTTATGCTTCCTTACCCTTCACCACCATGTTACACTTCCTCACCCTTCACTATCATGTTACACTTCCTCACTCTTCACCATCATGTTACACATCCTCACCCTTCACTATCATGATGCACTTCCTCACCCTTCACTATCCATTTCCTACCCTTCACTATAATGTTACACTTCCTCGCCCTTCACCATCATGATACACTTCCTCACCCTCTACTATCATGTTACACTTCCTCACCCTTCACTATCATGTTATGCTTCCTTACCCTTCACCATCATGTGTCACACTTCACCCTTCACCCTTCACTATCATGTTACACTTCCTCACCCTTCACCATCATGATACACTTCCTCACCCTTCACCATCATGTCACACTTCCTCACCCTTCACCATCATGTTACACTTCCTCACCCTTCACCATCATGTTACACTTCCTCACCCTTCACCATCATGTTACACTTCCTCACCCTCTACTATCATGATACACTTCCTCACCCTTCACTATCATGTTACACTTCCTTACCCTTCACCATCATGTTACAAATCCTTACCCTTCACCATCATGTTACACTTCCTCACCCTTCACTATCATGTTACACTTCCTCACTTAAATACCCTTAATATCACCCATTAGTCCTGTGCACCTCTCCTAATCTATTTCAGTATCAGAAGAAAAATACTTAGCAGATACACAGCAAAGTTCAGTACACAAGTCTTCAGCCGATGTACCGGGCAAAGTGTAGACGGAACCCTAAATTCTGGGACGCCCCAATGTTAGTTATCCATCGACGGTACTGTACTGTACACCGGTTTACTGCTCCTGGAGTGTGTGTGTGGTTTTATCTTTACCTTCAGGTAGAACACAAGTGATGGCTGCAGCCTTAGCTATTAGTCTTGCTCTTCTGAATAACACTGAAAATGTATTTGTGGTTTCCTGTAAATACTGTATTTTGTTAAACAGGAAATTGTCAGGTAGATTAAGCTCGCGATATATAAGAGGATGTTCGTCTCTGAATAAATCTATCATTTCGGCAATATATATATATATATATATATATATATATATATATATATATATATATATATTATTACATACCAAATTTATTTATTATTAGCGCAAGCGTTTGCATTTAAGACAATCCGCAATTTATAAACATATTCAATTTTAAATTATAGTGAAATCATCGATGATATTAAGCAATTTAGATTTTTAAAAATAATGCAGAACTATTACACTGACAAAACAGGTAAGTAAACATTAATCAAGACAAGACCACAAAAAGGTTTAACCCAAAATAAAAAGTCAAAGAAACGTATATATATTTGACAATTGTGTCAGAGAAAACGCGCTGGCTAAAGGGAGTACTTACCTTTCCTGCGATCTCTTTGATCTGGTCGTGGAGGTGGAGGGGGTCCATGAGCCCCCGGACCTGGCCCTCTTGCGGGCTGGCCAGGTGGACCTGCTCTGTCCCGGGGGTCGAGTGTGTCGCGGCGGGACCTATGTTTTTTATATTTTTATTATTATCTTCCAATAATTAATTTGTGAGGAAAGACTTTTACGGGAGAACAAGAGAATGATAATAATAAAGCCTACCTGTTGATGAGCCTCAGGAGAGAGCAAGGCAGCAGTGGTTAAGGGATTTAGGTTATTACTTTTAAAGATATATTCAATAACATCAGATATATCTTGTAAAATACTAAAAACAAAATCAATAAAATAATAAATGTTACCGTTATTTCCAAATAAAATGCGAAAAAAGTTATATGTGAATGGTAGAAACTCACTAAGCCTTATTCTTCAAAAGCTAAGTTCTCTGTACAAAAGACGTGTCAGAATATTCCACTATAAATAGTTAGGTGATGACTCTATCAACAAAAGACAAATGAGACAGTCATTAATCCCGAGTGAGAGGTAAAATCAAATCAAAATAATCAACCAATAGGCCATAATTTCCCCATTAAAACAACAGAAGCCCTAAGTGACTACACTAACTTAACTCTCTTTTAGACATCAAGATCGACAACTTCAGGAGGGAAATGTAAGAAAATTAAGAGAAGTAGTCAGAGGTAAAGTCACCATAACCTGGAAATATTGAGCTGACCTGTGGTCTTCGGAGTAGTCCTGTGGCGCGTCTTGCAAGAAGTTGGAGGGCACAAGGCCTCTCTGACCCCTCAACTCGCCCATATAGAAGCCGTCGTCGTCCATCTCGCCGTACACGTATATGATGTCACCCGTTTTAAAGGACAACTCAACCTGTCGGAGGAAGACGAGAGGGCTACTGGGGGCTCCTCCCTCCCTACGGTGGTGGGTTGGCGGGGTCTTCTCCCGGGTTATATACTTATATGCTCCAAATTCTAACAATGCTCTAGTTTATAAACTATTCTAAAGGTGCTTCACACTTAAGAGAGAACATTCATCTACTAGAGGATACACCGGTGTTTTTAAGGCTCATGAAAGATATTTGTTGATATTATTAAAGAAACGTAGAGAGGAGGAGGAGTAACAGAGAGGATCATCTGATAATACAGTACAGTGGCAGTCGATCAATAACGAGACAAATTGATGATTATATATATATGGAAGCAGCAAGGACAACAAGACGCCAAGAGGCTGCCCCTGGAGGCGATGTGGCCATAAAGAAAACAAACAAACACACACATGTAGAACACTGAACAACCTCAAGATAGTAATACCTACGTTCTCATGACATATGATACACACACACACACACAAACAACACAGCGGTCGGTGACATAATGAGTAACATCCATTACATAGTTTTAGACAAAGCTCTGGAACATCGACTTACAGGAACAGCTTGAACAATACGAGAGAGAGAGAGAGAGAGGGAGAGAGAGAGTAAGTGAGAGAGAGAGAGAGAGAGAGAGAGAGAGAGAGAGAGAGAGAGAGAGAGAGAGAGAGAGAGAGAGAGTAAGAGAGAGAGAGAGAGAGAGAGAGAGAGAGAGAGAGAGAGAGAGAGAGAGAGAGAGGGAGAGAGAGAGAGAGAGAGAGAGAGAGAGAGAGAGAGAGAGAGAGAGAGTAGAGAGAGAGAGAGAGAGAGAGAGAGAGAGAGAGAGAGAGAGAGAGAGAGAGAGAGAGAGAGAGAGAGAGAGAGAGAGCTTGGCAGACGTGAAACAGAGAACAGGTGACAACGGATCACAGGCTAAAAGGAAAATCATTAATCAGAAAGAGCACACAGTGATAAAAATAACAAAAGGATTAACATAACATATACGTATAGGCAGGAAACAACTGACTTAACACTGGAGAGCGGCTTGAAAATATTTAAGTTAGTCTTTATAAAATTTAAAAAAACATTCATTAAAGCTAAACATTCGCTAAACTTCATGAGATTGAAGTTTAGTAATATAGACGATTACACACACACGCATATTCACCAGCTGATCGATAATCACAGGTAGGAGGACACCATAAGAAAACATTTCCTTGGTTATCGAGTGGCTGGTGAGGGTTATATTAGTCTCCTTTACAGTCACCAGATCTCCAGTGTTGTCCAAAGGAACACGTAACACTCTACAGCGGCAGTGAAGGGCATACTAAGCATTTTTAAAAGGGCAGTGGAATACCATACTGTGTTTCTAGAAGGCCGTGAGACAGGTTCTAATGATGTTAACGTGCTATGTTTGCTGGATAAACTATAGAAGACACACTACTACTACTACTACTACCACTACTACTAGTACGTGTAAAAACAAACAAAACAGAGAGGGAACCTGACACGCAGAGAGTGTGTGTGACATACGCTGAGGGAAGGCAGAACCAAATTCATATACAGTATATATATTTTTTTTCAACGCATGCTGCAGAGACGTGATATATACATGCTCTAGTGCAGCAGAGGTGAGAGACAGGTGGTGGTGAACGCGAGGCTGCAGAAGGAAGGTGTGGTCTGACGTTACTCTGGGTAGGGGGAGAAGGAGGACGAAGAGGAAGAGAAAGATGATGACGGTGAGGAGTATGAGGTGTTGGAAAGGGGCTATATACGGTAGGGCGTGTTAGAAGGTTATTATGAAAAGGACCTGATATTACCAAGGAGATTAGTGAGATATATTTCACAGGTGACACAGTGAGGTGAAGTAGTGTGTGTGTGTCAGAGTAATGCCAGTGTAATGTGTGTGTGTGTGTGTGTGTGTGTGTGTGTGTGTGTGTGTGTGTGTGTGCCAGTGTAATGTGTGTGTGTGTGTGTGTGTTGGAGAGCATAATAGAGAGGGAATGAGCCAAATAATATGTTGACGTGGCAGTGAAGTAAAACAGTGATAAGATCTATTTAAAAATGACTATTAATGATGAGACAGAGAAAATGGTTTATGTAGGAGGTTGTCAATATACATGCTGTGATAGAGAGGCAGTGAAGGATTATAGCAGTGACATAGACTATAGCTGGATGGAACTAAGAGGAACCAAGACCAAGAGACTGTCTATACGTGCTTACAGAAGAGGACTGTGGAATACATCTTTGAAAGGCACACACACAAGAAATAGAATAGTATTAAGCATTTTAAAAGAAGATACTACAAAAATTAATAATATTGTCAGTAATTTTTTTTTCTTTTTTTTTTTTTAGTGACATGATTGACGGAATTATTTTTGGAATATGACTTGGCAAGAGAAGACAGAAGGGTTAAGCAAGCTACATAAAAACCAAACAATAGGGGAGAAGCAGTCAAGGTAAACGAGCTGTGATAAAAGATGAAAATTGAATAAAAACAAATAATAATAATTATCAACAGTTAAATTATTGTAGGTGAAAATAATAAGTAAAAACTACACAATGAAACACAAAGGGAACACTAGACTAAATGTTGCAGGAGATTTAAGAACACAACACAAACTGCAGAAATGACTTAGACCAAAAAAAAAAAAAAGAAGAAAATGTGGTTATTTAAAAGACCGTATAGGAAACTGAAGTGAACATTGCAATAGGCAGAGGAGGAGAAAGAGGAAGAAGGGGGGAGGCAGAGGAGCAGGAAGAGGAAGAAGGGGGGAGGCAGAGGAGGCAATGAATGAACACACACGTTTCCACTGTCCTGATACACTTGTTACTACTCAACTACTGGTTATAGCGTTGCCTCAGCCGCACACAGCACACCATCAGCTACAAGATACTCTCACTTAGTATGTTTGAGCTAAAAAAAGAAGGCGGGGGGGATCCAAGAGGTTTGTGGGAACAAGACCACCAATCGAGATTAACGGATAATCCACCTAAGAAATCCATCATCATTGATCTAAGGGTAAACAGAGGAAGAAGGTTTTTTTTTTGGGTGGGTGGGGTCTTGGATTTAAAAGGAGACTCAAGAGACGTAATCCGGCAGAAGAGGATTAATTAAAAATCCGTTTATCCGACAGGGTTTAGCCTGACCCAAAGTGTATAAACTCTTTTTTTTTAATGATATATATATGGCGAAATTTAGGCGACATAAACATGGCACTTCAACTCTATAAACTTTCCTTGTAAACATTACTTGCATCACTTACCTCCTGCGTGATACAACAAGAGGAATCGCGGAGGATGGAGGCAGCATGGGCGGCGGGTGGGACAGCGGGAATCAGCGTGTTAGTCAACTCAAGAATCCAAATGTCTAAACACCTCACATAAGCCCCTCAGTGTGTGTGTGTGTGTATGTGTATGTGTGTGTGTGTGTGTGTGTATGTGTGTGTGTGTGTGTGTCTTCAAGGGGACCGGTATCTTTTAAAACTAATATTTATCCAATGGTGGTCGAGACTTCAATGCATGAGCGATGTATAAATTACTATTATCATAAAAAAAAAAATCCACGTCATTATAGATTAGATTAGCGGGGATTACCATAAACCAGAAGTGTGATATAACAAGTCAACGCCAGGTTAAGCTCACACATCCCAACACACTGATTAGTTTTAAAAAGTACGTCAACCCCTTGTATAAGATTAGACCCACCCCCCTCCCCCCACCACCAAACCAACACCCTGCACTCACCAGCACTACACACCACTGAGTTACACCCCGCCCCCACCGCTTTACACCTACAGTACACCTTCTACACCACACTCTGTAATACTACACTGGGGTTTATTAGATCAAAGGAGATATGCACAGTGAAAGTTCTTAAACTACATGTGTATGTAGACGTGTGTGGTAATGTGTATAGGTGTATGTGTGTGTGTGTGTGTGTGTGTGTGTGTGTGTGGTAGTGTTAGTGGACGAGGAAATAATCCAAATATTCCACACACAAACACACACACACACACACACACACACACACACACACACACACATACCACATACCGAGAAGGAGGGAGCAGATTACTATATGCTAGGCGAAAAGGGAACGTAAGGAAGGAGAAGGAAAGTGAAGGAAAAGCAAAGAAAATAATAATAAGATAAGGAAGGACTGGTGGAAGAGGTGGTGAGAAATGAAACAAGAAAAAGAGAAAAAAATAACGAAATAAAAAGAAGAAATAAAAGTAGTCAGGAAAATAAAGAGAAAACGATGGGATTAAATAAGAGAGACAAAAGAGAATACGAAGATTTAAAGATAGAAAGAAGGCAAGAGCACTAAGGTGAAGATAGAAAGGAAGGAAGGAAGGAAGGAAGGAAGGAAGGAAGGAAGGAAGAAGTTAGGAAGGAAGGAAGGAAGGAAGAAAGAGAAGATCAGAAGTGTACACAAATCCTCCAACTCAGTGCTAAGTTACCCCTCGAATATTAGTCAATCACTCTTGAGGTGTAAATACTGTTTAACTCTCTTCATATATCATTACTTACACTACACAATAAACTGATTAATAGATGTGGGTTATCACAATGAACCACACCTGACGCATGAGGGGGGGAGGGAGGGGGGGTACCTGGTTATAAACGAGTTCACGACATGTTTGCTACCTTGAACTTGATCATTAGAGGTGATGTTCCCAACACCATACTCCACCTGTGTATCGTGACTCACCCAGAGACATGAATGGAAGGTGTAGTTAAGGTGGTGAAGACAACATGTTACCTGTGGTCTAGTTCAGGGAGTGAGTACCACCTCCACCTGTGTGTTCAGATGTTCTAACACCTGATGACTGGACAGACTGGCAGAAAATTCTCAAATGTGAAGGATTGTGTATTAATTAAGAACTTAGTGGCCGGGTAAATTTTACATATTTAAAGGGAGTGTTATATGAAGCATTTAAAACACGTGAAGAATATATTTGGGAATGTAAATTATAACTTTGCTTAATATTAACTTTTACTAAAGGGTTATGATGTATAAAGTGGGTAGACAACACCTGTCCTTAATTAATATTTGGCTGAGGAAGGTGACGACATTTGCTTCTGGAGAGGAAACCTTTATTTACAGTAGAACACAACTTCATATTTTAGGTTAACTTTGTTGCTGTCTGTATATCATGGTGGAAATTTGTTGAGTGTAAAAATTAACACTTCTCTCTCAAGTGTTAAAATCAAAACCTCGTTAAGAAAGACAATATGAGTAATTATGAAATTTGGGTGGGGGGAGAGGGGGGGGGGTAAACACGTCACTGTCTCTCTTATCAAGAAACTTTAACTTCATCAGGAGAATATTTACATATATATAGAGGGGGTAGAACACATCTCTTATGGGGGGGGGGGTGTGAGTGAAAGGGGGGGGGGGTATTAAACATGATTTAAGACATTATGATGAGACAATGTATTAAGACATGATATATAGCAAGTAATAAAAGGGTACAAAATATCAAGCTGCTTCTTAAAAGGTGATAATCTTAGGTTATATAGTGTGTTCCTGTGTTATGGCGATGGCAGAGGAACATCTACGGTGCTATCGTTGGGGTAACTCGTAAGGCTAAATAAAGTTGTATATATGATTAACTAGAGATACATTTAACACCACCTGAGATCTACTTAATATCATATGGGAAATGAATCAAAACAACGGCTCCCTCCATCATAGTAAACATATAACTGAACTGAAGAAAGTAATATAGATGTGGGTTTTATTAATTCAGGTTTGTGTAGCAGGGTGGTGGTCAAAGTATCGTTCTCACTCATCTAGATAAGCATTAAACTTGCATTCTCATTCCTAGAACAGAATGGTCGGAGGACATTCTAGGTGCAGTAATTATGTCTGAAAGAAGAATCTAGTATGAAAACAGGTTAACAGCTATGAATGAAATCCATCTTCACTTGATTGCCATTCACAAGTATAAATCAGCACTACTAATCAATACGTTTCTAAGCTATTTATGTAAAATAAAATATTCTATAACATTAAAGCTCTTTTTTTTCATTTATAAACACAGCTAAGTTAAAATTCACTAATAAAGCAGAATTAAATGAAACATCGTGAGTAATTGTTAGCCTACAAACTTTTCCCTCGTTTTCATTAAGTCTAATGTAATGGTTCGTCCAACACCATACCATAAAAAAAATGACATTAATTACATCACAGGAGATTAGTGAGATGTTCCACCGAGACAAGACATGACTGACGCTCGTAGCAAACAACGCTAACAACCCTGTGTTTTGGATGATGAGAAATATATACAGCACAGTAAGGAGGGGTGGGGGGGGTTGGTGTTTGCGTTGCTTCACACTGGCGGATTACGTCTCTTGCCTTCCACAGCTGGGTTGTTTATACACTAGCCTTCCTATAAGGTGTGGTGTCTAACCTCCTCTCTACAAACAGGCCTTTCTCTACCTCTAGAACATTGTCATTAACTCAATTGTCTACCTAGAACTGGTATTCTTTGTCCTATCCTTTACCACCAAGTTATTATTTCTATCCCTCCATCTACCCTGTGATGCCCCCCCCCCCAACTGAGTACAGCACACCGTCCCAATTGCTGCGTTAGTTCGTCCACACTACATATATCCTAATCACCTATCTCTGGTCTAAACACACGGTGAAGAAACTACCCAAACATCCTTTACTCATTATTATTCATTCACCTTTGTACCTGTCTTCTATCGTGTTAATTGACTAATGCCAGATCCATTATTGTTGTGCTGGTGGATCTGTTTAAAGACCAGCACGGGAACTACCAGCGTTGGACACTATAGTAATCTAAGTATTGTTGACGTGTGTGCTGTCTGCTACACCTCTCCAGTCTCTCTGATCGCCTGGCTACACTATCTTACAGACTACAGTATTTATCATTATATAATATACTATTGTCATTACCAAACCTACATTGAATACTTCCCTCTTAATTCTCTACATTTACTTTTTCCTTTTTTTTAACCTTTTGTATCGTGTCCTGTTCTCTGATTAGACTCCTTATTCCATTTTTTTTCTCCTAGTGCTTGTAAACAACTATTCTACAGCTCACCTCCTCCCTCAGCCTGGACCGTCCACACACTCACACACTCCTCTCATTCACAGTGTCAAAAGAAGACGTATTTATCTTTACTTTTTTTTTTTGGTAGACGCGAGTTGCTAATTCTCATAACCTCCGACGTGTTCTCTTCCTTGGTTTATGTCTGCGACGAAAAAATACGTTCAAAATTTCCCTCAAAGAGTTAATGTTGTTTCCAGTATGTCCATGTGACCAAGGAGTTAATATCCCTTCCCCTCGGCACAGCAACACTAATAAAGATCCTATGATCACACTTCCCCCAACATCACAATGGGATGAAAAGAGAATGGAAAGATTAGGTATCATCCGGACATCGCATACAGTGCCTTCAGAGACAACTAGACAGAAAGCCTTTTATAGAGGGAAAGTTGGTGCAATAGCATTAACCATGACCGGTGCTGGAGTAAGCAGAGGTACGGAGGGAGCAAACGATTAAGAGGATTACGTGAGAGAGAGCCCTACCATCACTCTGAGATACATATGTCCGCCAAATGGGCAGAACATAAAAGGCGCAACATTAAAAAAAAATACTTGTGAATAGACTTGATACAGACATGTGTAAGGAGAGAGGGAGAGAGCACAGCTAGAGATACACCTGCATAAAAGGTTAATAATTTATTGGATTGATATTTTTCCTTAGTAATGTATCATGATAAATACCCCCCCCCCCCACACAACACAGAGGGCTGATATAGCTAATGTATCGCATCTCACCCTAAGAGGAAACTCTATAAAATTAAATTATTAACCTGAAATTGTATTCATAATCCCCTAAAATAAATATGAAGAGTAAGGCTTAAAAAAATAAAGCTTGTTTCAGAGAGTTTGAGATATGTTGCATTATTCAACAGAGACAAACACTGGTGCAACATTAACAGCGCGATATATGTGCTTGCTAAATTGCTTCTGACTACATATAAATATTTTCTCTGTTGCAGCTAATGTGTATGAGCTGAGGAGAAAATCTGGTATCATTTTTTTATACAGAATGATAATGGAAAACTGTAGTACCTCAGGGAAATAAGTTTATGAACCACACAAACTAGTAACTTAACTTAGCTAGTGAGTAGTAATGAAGGTGGATAAACGGGTTCAATGATCCGTCGTTCTCTTAGTTTTCCATATTTAATTTATTGTTTTTGTATTTACGAGGAGATGTATTTTGTTTTTTGTTGCTGAATTTTCCATGGTATGTATTATTTATGTCTAATAAACAACTGCCTCTCTAATACTTTCCTTGGAGTTTTGTTGCAGATTTGGATATTATTGTTCATTTAATCACCGTGTCAACGAACCCATTTCATAATCCGCATTTTTTCCAACATATATAGTGTAAATTATCAATGGAGGGGGGGGGCACTGGGAGGGTAGCACACATATTTAGTAACTAATTCTCGGGAGGTTTTCTTTGTTCTTTGTCTCTCTCTAAAGAACAGAACGTGTGTGTGTGGGGAGGGGGAGATAAACGCAGGCATCCCCAGCGTTACGGAACCCCGGGTTGCGGAATTTTGCTCTTACGTAATTTGTAAATTATGACCAATAAATTCGCAACATGGCCCGTAAATCCACCCTTACGGAAATTGAGGTAAATTTTAACAATAAAAAAAATCACTATAGAAAATTAAAAATTTTTGTTAAAAATTATAATTTGTTTGGTGTGGATTTCTTGGTGTTTGCTACCGCCAAGCGTGGCATCGCCACGAGGAGTCAGTCCATTGTTTACATCCAGTGTGCGTGCATGTTTCTCGCCCCAGCAGTTGGATTTAACTTTTACAAACATACAGTAAGTACAGTACAGTACAGTACAGTGCATTACCCTTATTCAAGATGACTGGAAGGAGGCCATCAAGTGGAAGTGACCGCAGTAGTGCAAAAAGAAGTCGCAAAGGCATTACCTAGGATATTAAACTTGATGTTTTAAGAAGGTATATCATAAATTATTTATGTACTGTATTGTATGTGTTTATAAATGTTTATTTTCATTCATAAAAGTGCTTGAATTACTTTTTTTGGGCCAAAAATAATTCCTTAGGAACGCGTCTCCAGTTTTATAATGGAAGTCAATGGGAAAATAGGTTTTGCGTTACAGAATTTCCCGATACGGTCAATTTTTCAGGGACGCAACCCTTCCGTAACGCGGGGGATGCCTGTATTTGTTAGTTCTAACTTGTGAAGAAAACCATAAAGGCAGCTGACGAGAATCCTCTGAGGCGTCAAGAACTCGCACTTTAAAGAGAAGAAAAACTTTGGCGTAGTTTAATTAGCGCTTCTAAGTCATAAGTAAACTATGGGAACAGTGTCTGTAAGTGAACCTTAGAATAAAAAAATTTGTTATCCAAATCTGCAAAGGAAATGATCGAGGTGAACGGAGAGACAAGAAGGTGAGGGAGAGCTGAAAGAACGACATCGCCTACCTCTGAGTCCACGTTGGGCGACAGTTCCTGGGGATCATAGTCATACAAGGCGATCATCTTGCCCACGGGCATGTTGGCGTAGATGTCTCCCCAGCGGTCCCCTTGATGTCCCCGGCGTCCTACTGACCCGTCCCTCCGGCGTCTTCCGGACTCTGACTCCTTCAATAGTTCCTGCGCCACTCTGTCATCATCAACCTGCAGGAAGGAACTTCATGTAAACACTGACACTCAGGCAGCGTCACGTCTACTGTAGATGTATGGGTGCTTTTGAGAAATTAACCTTTATATATATATATATATATATATATATATATATATATATATATATATATATATATATATATATATATATATATATATATATATATATATATAATATGTCACTTATTATTTTCACTATTGATATGGAGAAGTTCATCACATTTAAATATAAAGGCAGCATGAAACTTGGAGAAGCGTGAAGAGGAGACACTAACAGACTCTATGGCAGATCCATCGATGCCTTTAACCCTTCAGAGGTCAGCAGCGCACTTAGGTACTTTAATCTGGCTAATGCCGGATGATTTTATTCATTTGAGAAAACCGCTTCCCTCTAAAGGGTTGAGAAGAGTGATATTTGTAACAATGACATGGGGATACTGATAATGTGAGGTAAAAGAACTTCTTGTAGGTAATTAAACCGAAATAGTTGTTACTCTTATAAAAAGCAACTGTAAGGGATGAGGCTGTAGATAACCTAAAGTAAAGATACTGAAGCTAATGAAGAAGTAGATGTAGTTAAACTATAGAAGAGACTTGTGGTCTCCGGTGCCCGAGCAGGGGCAGCAAATTCTACGAAAGTTACCTACATATTTTGTTGTTGTCAACATGACATAAATAAGTAAACTCAAGCACCCAAACATGAAGTAAGTGAAAGGAGACACTTACCTGTACTTCAGAAACCATGTTGCAGGGGACGTAGCCGGAGCTGCCTCCCGCCTCCCCCCAGTAGAAGCCATCGGGGTCTTTGTCGCCGAACACCTTGATGAGCTGTCCCTCCCGGAAGCCGAGCTCCTCGTCGCACGCGTCGGGATTTGGACTCATTGTGTGTGGGTCGTAGTCGAACAGCGCCACGAAGATGCGTGTGTGTTGATCACCTCCTGGCACAGCGCCGCCACGCCCACGTCCTTCTCCGCGTCCATACTCCCGGGCGTACTCGCCCCCTCGGTGACGCCCTTCTCCTTCATACCTGTCGCGAGGGTCTCGAGGGACGTGTGGCTCCCTCATATGCGGGTCCCGTCGGTCCCTAGGGTCCCTAGGATCACGGCCTTCGCGGTAATGCTGGTCACGGGGGTCGCGACCTTCGCGGGGTTCTCGCGGGTCGCGTGGTAAAGGTCGATGTGGGTGAGGTGGTGGAGGGGGACGTCCTCGCTCCTGATGTGACCTAGGAGGGGGGGCTCGGGGGTCGAATCGTCCCCGCCCTCCTGGCCCAACCTCGTAGTCCTCTTCGTTGAACCCTTCCACTGTGCCGTGACCCTCGTTGTCTTTGGTTATCTCTGTAGGGAAGGAAGGATCAGTGGGTGCCACACTCACTAACCCTTAACTACTACCACGGAGGCTACTACTTCACTACCATGACGGGTGGGTATCAATCGACCATACTGTGTTATGTGTTGGTATGGTTTCTAATCATTCCACAGTGAGCTGGTGTAGTGTCAAGACTGAGTTTCACCATAACAATACGGGAGGACAAGTCATATCAACAAGTTGGTTCAGTACAAGGAAGCCAGTGTTGTGGGTAAGGCTAAGTGGTTTTTGTTCCAGTATTCTCTTGGAGTGTGTATATTGATGTGCTCGGTGAACGTGTTCTGTTTTATATTGTGTCTAGAAATAGAATCTTGTGCGAAGACGTGTGTTAAGAAAGTGCACCTCACGGTTGTTCTTCCCAGTAATCATCAATACGTTCAAGCAATAACCCGTCTGTGTTTATGTCCTGTTTGGAAACCTTTCAACTTATATTTAGTATTCCTCAGTGGGTTACACCCCAGCCCCAAAACTGAAGAGTTTATAACTAATCAAGGATATCCCTCTGGTTTAACTTGACTATCAGAACAAAGTTTTATAATCTGAGTTAACTCTCAAGTGTTTAGTATCTGCGACTTTATTTATCTAAGTGTGTCTCCTCTTCCTTAGTGCTGAACACAATTTTATATGAAACTAAATGCTTCTAATATGAACTAATATGAACGTTGTCATATTAAATCCACCTAAGACGTCCGAGACATTGATCTTGTCCGTAGGAAGACATTCAAGAGGGTCTCCAACCAGCTGTTTTACGCCAATAGAGGCGCTACTGTTCCTGGTGTGTGAGGGATCTACGTGCACTTACACCTCTATAACGTGCTGTGCCGTCATTAACTACTGATGTTGTGAGTTAGGGTTCACGAGAGTGCCTTAGGAGTGCATAATAACAAGACCCATATACAGAAAACTGAGCGAACTACAAAATCTGATCAGGTCCTCCAGCCCACCCATCTAATTCTGCCCTCATCTGAACCCTATATAATATTAGGCTCCTTTTTTTCGGTGCGTGGGTCTTACTGTTGATTGTTGCTCCCACACAGTTCATTGTTTCTCGTGATGTTAAGGCAAGCACGTTCTGAATCGATGGCAACATGTGAGGAGGTAAAATTAATCTACGTATAGGGCTATGAGGGGGTGTAACTTGAGCTAGCTGGTGGTGGTGGTGGTGGTGGTGTTTCAGGGTAAAAGTGGAGGCATAACTAAGAAGGGGAGGAGAGAGTCACAAGAGACAGAAGCTTCTCCTGCTTGTGTTACAGGCACAGTGATCTAACAACGGGGGAAGTGTTGTAAACCAGTTATGGTGAAGGAGAACTAAACACATAGTTCTATAGGAGTGTATTAATCCAATTTAAACCGACTATTTAAGATGAAAAGAAACTTACAGGTCTAAGAATGTGAGTTATTGAAGCTAAAACGACTATTTATAGGGAGGAATTAGAGAGTTTTAAGTATAAGGATAAGAATGGATTAAAAGGAGACTGAACCAGTAACCAAATGGAGAAAAAAGAAAATCCCGTTGAAAGAAGGATCATAAAACAACACAGCACTCAGCATTACCTGCCAGCAACTACCTCAAGACAGTCGACAGTGCGAAGGAAGATGTAAACCACGACCTTTCACGAAGACTTAGGTGTTAAAAGAACCAAGTCTACTGGTAAGGCATCGCTCGCCAATCCAACCACCTGAAGCTATCCACCAAAGCAGTAAGAGAGATGCTGACAGCTGCGACAAACTTTATCCTCAGAGAGAACAGAACAAATGGTGTGACTTCTCTCTTTTCTCCATAAAAAGAAACTAAGAACAACAACCCATTTTTCTTTCTGTAGAGTGACACCTCATCGACCTCCTGAAGACACAAGCCAAAAGTAGCAATACACTAAGTTCCTGCAGGGTTCTGTGTCCATTAAGAGCCACACACTCGCACACACACGCATACTCACTCACACACAGAGTTCTGATTGCTTAACTAGAAATCAGTCAATAAAATATGGCCTCTGGTTATTAAAGTGAACAACAATAACTCATACAGTGCATCTCAATATACTCACAAACGACACAACGCTAAACGAAGCTCGAGGTAGTTCCCCCTCCAGCCATCACTCCTCAACAATATTAAATAAACTCTAATTACCTACAAACAACTAATTCTTTAGTTCCAACACGGAGATATATACATTGTGAAGTCTCCTCTGCATCAAATAACTAAAACTGACAGACGATAAATCTTAATCTATCCTTCTTCTTCGTTTTAGTTTAGTTTCCCGTCATAATTTTTTTTGCTATTTTCTCTAATTACGATCATATTAATTTCAATGGATATTAATAAGATCTTTAGGAAGCAAAAATATGGCAAAATGTCTGTCTACCATATTTTTTTTCCATTAGTTTTCCATAATGTTATATATCAATGCTATCTCGGCCTATTTGAACTATAGGTGACGGTGTGACATTCATGATTATTATAACAGTTAAACAGCATTATATTAGTCGTCATATTAAGTATTTCATTATAGAGTACAAATTATCTAAATACACACTCCTGCTCTACCAACACTATTCTAGTTCTTTCACTCAGTAATACACAAGAGTAACTAGAGAACGTTCACTTAAAGACCCTAACTTCCATTTAAGTATAAGTATAAGAACCACATCCTAAGTATCACAAATCAAGAAAAGTCGCCACAATGATATTCCAGGCTTCGATTAACAAAGATCTTATCCCAAGTAAAGGTGATGCAGTAGGTCTCAGGCTCCAAGAATTCACCCAACACCTGTAAAACCCCCAAGACGTTGATTGAATTCCTCCCCCGAAAATCCACACTAGAAGACCTACCTAGGGACCTCAGCTCCGATAACAACGCCAAAGATTCCAACACTGATGAAGAACCGACCCCGAGACTAGGAATAGGTATAATAATTCTAATAACCAGAGACTATGGGAAGCAAATCAACCCCGTGAACCACAAACCGAGTTAATATAGTGTTTGACAAGTGATGACAAGTGTACATTGGATAACACAGCACCATACATCATCCTTGACTCTATATACTTGATCAACTCCCAGTGTCACAGCTCCCTAAAGAAAATCCTCAAGAAAAGAATCTTTTTTTTTTTAAATAACCAAAATTATTTCCAAAATAATATCTACAAAAACTGAGGGAAGCCAAAGAAAAAGTTATGTAACCCTTTTAGCCTCTGAAGGTGGCGTTGGTACTTACGTCTGACTCGGGAAGCGCCTTTGCCTGGTAGGGGAAAGAGATGGTTCAGGCTCTGACAAACATGGAAGTCAAAAAGTGAAACGAAAAAAAAATATATATAACGATTGAAAAATACAGATTGATACAGTTAAGTCTTAGAACTTGTAGTTAGAGAGAATATGAGAAAAAAAAGTGCTCATAAAAAAAGACACCAAATATGAATGTGTATGACAGATTCTCTTGCTGTGATTTCTAAGGCCAGTTTTAGAATAATAAAATATCTGAAGATAGAAAGTATTTAGACATATAGATAGCTGCTTAAACTATACCCTAGAATATAGGATTTTCTTCTACAGTAAACAACACCAACTGATCAGGACCATAATGTAAACAAATGAGTGTAAACAGAGCTGAGGTTACAGAACGTATCATGGATGAAGTCTTATCAATGGTCCTGTTCAGCTGGTCATAAACAACAGACACAGACTAGATGGCCTTGTGGGTCTTCTTCCTCCCAGTTAAGTTACTCCCATAGACACGTGGTAACAGAAGTGACACAGCAGTAGTAGTAGTAGTAGTAGTAGTAGTAGACAGTGAGAGGAATAAAGCGTAATACGTAAAATAAGAATAGCTAAAGAATGAATAAAAGTACAGAAAATTATTAGTAATGATTTGAAAATATAAATACCTAGGTTATATAATAAACTACAAACTGAAAGGTGTAAATAAGGTGAAAATATAACACAAACATTGATAAAATAAGACAACGAAAATAATCCTTCATAAATAACAAAGGCAATGATTCAATTAGTAACAAAAATAATAATACGAAAGAAAATTATTATATATTTATGATAAAAGAAAAAAATAACATTAAATTATTTCCCATGAACATAAAATAAAGAAAATAAAAACATCATTTAAAATTATATTACCCCAAAAATGAAATGATCTGAGAAAGAGAAAGTTAAGTGAGAAAGAAACAAGAAACATAGAAGAGAAATATAACAAGTAACAAGTTATTTGTCCACTTCCAAAAATCTTATATAAAAAATACTATGAAATACTTAACTATAGATAAATGCTTACTGTATATCATAAATTTATGTTAAAAAATGCTGATAGAAGTCAAGTGTATATAAAAATAAGAGTATAATTTAAAGAGGGTTTGTACCAATGCACTACTCTACAGAAATCGTAAAATTCTATCACAATTATCGTATTTTTAATAAATATATACAATATATATTTACAATACTTTCTCCCCCCCAAAACAAAAAAATATATAAAATATATTTCCTTTTACAGAGATTTCAAAATTAAATACTCTTTCTAAAATCTAGTCAATCTTTGTTTTGTAAATATATATTTCTAGCAAAAATCATGTTTAGAAATATACACAAACTGGTGGATTTAAAGTCTTTTGTTTTGTTGTTGTTTATCTCGATCTCTACAAAGGACTCAAGGAAAATGTGGTAGGGTCTCAAAAATATATACCAAGTTTACGAGAATTTTTTTTTTTTTTTATGGTAATAACACATACTCTTTCTGGAAGTGCAAGTGTACTCGAGGGATACATAAAGACACGGACACAAAACTAAGAAGAAATAGACAAGGAGTGGAAGAGAAGCATAAAGTGGAAGTAGACAGATATAAACAAGGAGAGACGGACATACAGACATAAACAGGAATAGTGACAGCAACAGACTAAGTAATGAGAGGCGTCACACCGTGGGAGGCGTGACACTAAAACACCCATATCATAAAACTAGTGCCAGTGCCAGTACTGTATACTAAGCCAGCGAAGGAGCTGTTATTTTTCCTCCGCTCCTCTCACTGTAAATACTGGTGGAAATTTACACCAGACGGACATTCGCTCGTCTCTTGTAACTAGCAGTGGCGCTCTTTTATGACTTGAGCATAAGGGTGTACATTAAGTCTCCAGCGGGGGCCATAACCACAGGTCATTGTAGGTCTTTATTACACCCGGGTGACGGAGTCCAAATACCCCCACACAGGCCAAGTAGCCACGTGTCTGTACACCACACACACAGACACACATACATACATACATACGCACATACATATACATGTACAGTGACAAACAACGTGCCCTGTACACGTCTGTGTGAGAGTAACAAACACCCACGAGATACTGCAGTAGTCATGTATGGGAGGACATGCTGCTCCAGGTCGCCTCACAGGTGACAGGTGTCTCTCTCAGGTGTGTGAAGGGATTTTAGTGCGTAACTGTACATGTAAACACTCCTACATGCATACACTCCTATACACACATACACACGCATGCACTTACGCATGCATACATACATATATACTCTGTAGTAGTGTACTCTACCACACGCACACATACGTGTATTTGTAAGTTCGCTCACACGTTCGGACATACATCATTCTTACATATGTACATAATTATGTAGATGTGTGCACTCATACATGTAAACGTACATGCACGCACTGGTACAAACGGACATGTACTCTTACATCTTAACACGCAAGCAAGCAATCTGTTATTCTTAGAAAATGTTACCTTGGTCACAAAGCCGATTGTTTAAGACATGCACAGGTGAGAGGTGTGTGTTTACGGTGTGTACGGTAACATTAGGTATGCATAAAAGGTTTTCTTACACATCACAAGACTTTGAAAATGAAGACACCGGAAGGAGCATCACCATGTTTAAGGTAGTTCATGTATAGACTATATCAACACCTTTTATATAACACAACCAATGATCTCGGCAGAACCCTTATGCATACATAGTGTATATACACATAAATGAACACTGTGAGAAGCAGTAGTGATGTAACTCAACTCAAGAGTGAAATCACTGCACAGAGTAGCGACGCAGGAAGCTGGTGCATCCTAGCGTGTAGGTGAGGCACAGTGGAAAAGTGACAGAGAGAGTGAAAAGTGTTGGTTGTATGCAAAAAGCGCCACCATCCCGAGTCTCGTGGCGGGGAAAAATATTGATGGAAAAGAAAAACAAAAATATATATATGAGGAGGAAGAGGAGGGAGGAAATGTCACCCCTCGTTATCAAAATGTTTATCGAAATTTCACACATTAAAAAATATATAACGTGATGATGGAAAAATATTTAGGTGAAACTTGTTAGGATTTCATACCGGCATATCAGTCAGTGTGATTATGATCTGTCCTCAAAGAGTTTATCAGTATTAGTTATGAAAACAAATAATAACAATATCTACTTTGAGAACTATCAAAATTATACAAGTACAGAACTACTGAAACATTATAACTCTCACTGCCTCACTATATCCACACTGAGTATAAAACACTGCTTCATCACGACTACACTTCAAAAATGTCAGTGACTCACTACTTAAGACTGCTAGAAATACAGACTTACGACGTCTAAAGTCTCTCCTACAGTGGGGGGGATCCATTCAAACTATGTACAATTTTTCCATTATGTTATGAAGGAGCATGTGCGTTCTTTACCTTTTAACTGCCCTATGGTATTGAATAAAGAGTTTGAGAGTCTGGCCAAGCCACTCCTTGTGGGGCCTGCCATGTGCCCCAGTGAGGAGGAAGAGGGGACGGGGGGGAGGGGGAGAGAAAATGGCAATCTTATTCATCTTGCCGGATGAAGAATATATCAATCTATAGTTACGGAAGCTTATGTATATATAGATATAATTATGACAGGTTTGTGTTATTTAAGTTTAATTAAGGAAACGTCAAGTATGACAAGACTCAGGTCCAGCGTTTAGTTAGTAATTATCACTATTTCTCATGTAGCAGTTTGAGCTGGCATTAATAATTTCTTGTTATAGTTTCACAGGTTGTTTTGAAATTTTGACTTTGAAGAGATTTATAACAGCATGAGTAAAAGAGTGACTAAAGCAAAGCAGTACAAGGTTACGGTGAAGAAGCGTCAGCAGCGTCAGCAGTGTGAGCAGGACATAGTCAGCCAGCAGCAGCCGCACGCGCCCTCACATGCGGCTCTGCCCATCACTCCTCATGGGCCGCAGGTGGTCGTGGGGGAGACTTAGTGGGCGTGGCACTACTCACCTATGGCCGGGATGGGGGCGTGGGGGCCTTGCTGGCCCTGTTGATGACCCGGGTAGATCTCCTTGTCGCTCAGGTTGTCCTCGTGCTCCAGGATGGTCTGACCCAAGTGGTCAGTCCTGACTCCAGGAGCTGGGGCTCCTCGACGCCCTAGTAACCTGTCCCTTAGACTTCCAGGACCAGTGATGCCGTGATGTGGGCCACCCTGGCCATGGTGAGGGCCAGCGGGACCGTGGTGTGGCCCAGGCAGGCCATGGTGCGGGCCGGATTTATGGCCATCGGCATGCATGTCCTGTGAGGATAAGAGAACCGGTCTTAACAACAGCAGTCAGGCCGAGGCCCCCGCAGCCACTGCCGGCCCAGTCTTACACCTGGTGGCTCCTACTCCCTATACCCCAAGGCTCCTCCCTCCCCACAACTCCCACCAACCCCTACCCCAGGCCGAGGACGCCCCCAAACCCCCGCCGCCCCCGCCACGCCCCTCCCAACTCCCCGATATTGATCTACAGGTCCCCACGAAAATGACTCGACCCCTCGGCAGCAGGTCACACCAGCTGGCTTCCCTGCACACACACACCTTATCTCGTCTCCCTAAGAGTGATGTACGCTTACAATTATCATAGACACGATAGATATAGTTACGAAGTTTCAACAAGAAACCTAATTCCTTACAATACTTACTCTGAAAAAAATCAATATGCAAAATACCTTAGCAAAAGCATCAAACACTTACCTGTGCCTTCAGCGACGTTACCTAAAGTTGCTGTAGAATCTAATTAGCATAGCAACAAAGCAAAACGTTCACTAAGTCACAGCCAGACGTAAACATAAATTCAGTATAGAGATGCGCTTGGCAACCATCAGAAAATTCGTGTTTTTATGTCGGCTCTCTGTTGCCTCAAAACACAAGTGTGTGAAGTGGAGTGCCTGAGTGAACTAAAAGACTTGATAATCATCATAGTTGAATCAGCAAGGTCAACTCTATTGGTAAACTTTATTTTTTTTCATACAGAACTCAATCACATAACTTCCTGCCTTGGTTAATGGCTAAATTCTTAAGTAAAAACATTAATTACTTGAACCAGCAAAGGACCCATTAAAATTCATGTAACACCCTATTTTATAGTACTCATGTAACACTCTACCTTAATAGTACTTATGTAACACCCTACCTTAATAATACCCATGTAACGCCAACACCCTACCATATAATAATACTCATGTAACACACCAGATTAACAGAACATAAGTTCCTACGTTACTATTGCAACACACCTGCCCTAATGACTGTTACCTCACCTGAAAACATAGGTAATTAGTGTTACCTCACCTGATAGTAAAGGTAATCAGTGTTGCCTCACCTGGCAACACAGGTAATTCGCAGTGTTACCTCACCTAACAACTCAGGGATTTAGTACCTCACCTTACAACACAGGTAATCAATGTTACCTCACCTGACAACATAGGTAATCAGTGTTACCTCACCTGACAACATGGGTAATCAGTGTTACCTCACCTGACAACATAGGTAATCAGTGTTACCTAACCTGACAACATAGGTAATCAGTGTTACCTCATCTGACAACTCAGGGATTTAGTTACCTCATCTGACAACTCAGTCTCACTTTCCTCGGCAATATCTGACAACTCGGAGGGACGGTCCATGTCTGAGAGCAACATTTCCTCATCTTCTTGAAACTGTAGAAATGAGGGAATAAGGCTGAACAAGATAAAAACAAACGATAAAATAAAGAGAAGGTACAACAAAACTAAAATAAAACAGGAAGCAAAATAACTTTAAAATCAGACTAATAATAATGCTAAACTAGACGTAAAGAACTATAAAAATAAGGAATAGGCATAAATAAACTACAAACAAAATAAAGGAGATACAAGAATAACTCTGAAATATTGAAAAATTAACAATGGTCATGGATGAGATTAACAAAAGAAATAAAAGCATTGACAAATTACTTAACATTATTGAAATACAAATAAAAGTACAAAATAGTGGAAATAATAAGTTGAAAATATCGCAAAAAATAATGATATATGAAAAGAACTTAATGCAAATAAGTACAACAAGCTGATCAAAATGGGACAAAAGCTTAATTAATTTGGAAGAAGCTTAATTAATGAAAGCTTAATAATGAACAAAGACCTTCTACAGGAACTCTACTGCAAGGTCTTGAAGTGTGAGTAAGGGTCATGCAATGAAAACTGTTTTCCAGGAAAATAAAACAATTTACGCAAGGATTATACCTTATATATGTATATGTATATAATTAACGTGTGTGTGTGTGTGTGTGTGTGTGTGTGTGTGACTAAAAAATAAAATAAGAGTAGCTAACAATTACAATATCAAAATAACACAAACACAATAATAATAATAATAATAATAATAATAATAATAATAATAATAATAATAAAACAAATTGCAGGAAGTAGACTGGTGAAACGCTGTCTACCAGGAGGTGCAGCCAACCAGTCATGGTAGCGTGTGGTGACCCTGTGTTTAGACCCACACTCTTGACTGACCTGCCGACACAGCTTTTATTATCCTAAATTTTGATTGGACGAATATTACTTCGAGTGAATTACAATACGCCAGTGTGTGTGGGGGTGGGTGTGAGGGGGGGAATGTGTGTGTTTGTGTGAGGGGGGATGTGTGTGTGTGTGTGTGTGTGTGTGAGGGGGATGTGTGTGTGTGTGTGTGTGTGTGTGTGTGTGTGTGTGTGTGGTGTGTGTGTGTGTGTGTGTGTGTGAGGGGGGATGTGTGTGTGTGTGTGTGTGTGTGTGTGTGTGTGTGTGTGTGTGTGTGTGTGGGGGGATGTGTGTGTGGGGATGTGTGTGTGGGGTGGGGATGTGTGTGGGGTGGGGATGTGTGTGTGGGGGATGTGTGTGTGTGTGTGTGTTTGTGTGTGTGAGTGTGATAAAAGTTACAAAATTGTGGAATGGTTCACTCGATTGGCAAGTAATTTACAAGTGATATTAGTGGTACAAATATAATGTCTAATAAATAACAGTTTCAGAACAGCTAGAGCACAAAAGTGAGATTGGCAGAGAGTGAACACACAAGTTAACTACGAGTTGTTGATAATTTTTAAAATGGTTGGGACTGGGCTGTTCTTATAGCGACCAGTACGTGCTCGTATGGGCTGGATGTGGTCTGGTGTCGAACAGCAATTCGAGGACGAGGGATCTAGAGTAGAAGCAGGAGCCGGTGTCGAGGATGGTGCAGAAGCTTCTCCCCAAACTTGCAGATGAGGTCGTGGTGATGGTCAGAGAGAGCCGAGAGGGTCAGTGTGTTGAGCGTTTCTTGATATGTGGAGTAGGAAGGGGAGAGAATAATCTTGCATGCCCTCTTCTGCACTCTCTGTGAGTCCTCGTTGTGTGGCACTTAAGGAAGGAGACCAGGCAGGGGAAGCATAGACGAGCTTAGGAGGTATGAAAATTAAGCAAGCACTCAAGAGTTCAGTTGCGGGAACTTCAAGGGACTTGAGACGGAGGAAGTGGAGACAAAGGATGAACAACTTGACGATTGCACTGACGTGTACTTTCCAATTTAGTTTGCTATTTATAGTGACGCTGATGAGCTTGGTGGAGTCCACAACCTGGAGTGTAATAGAGGGAGGTGGGACATGGTAGGAGGAGAGGTTGATGTGCATAACCATGGTCTTAGTATGGTTGATGGGGACGTGGTTGTTGGTGGCCCAATTTTGGAGACTGTTCAATATATCCTGGAGGGCGGTGTAGTCGGGAGCCGAGTTGTTCACACTGATCCCGATGGTGGAGTCGTCGACATATTTGCAGCGGGCGGGAGTATCCTTCAGTGAATCATTGATAAGGATGAGAAAGTAGAGCGGTCCCATGTTGGTGCTTTGGGGGAAGCTGTAAGTGAGTGATTGAAAGGTGGAGACAGCCCCTTGGAAGCGTACTGCTTTGTTGATAATTAAATTGTGATTGACTATGTCGAATGCCTTGGTGAAATCAATGTGTGTGTGTGTGTGTGTCCAGACAGAAGTCGAAGTGGCCTGGTGTAACCCGTACAAAGGTCAAGGTTTGGTGCACGTGACCACCTCCCCGCCCTCTACGAAGGTTCAAGGCCGCGTGTTTGACAAGGTGACTATAACCAACGATTATGAATCTGGTTTATACCGCTGCCTCAACTGTCCGTCACATGTATACTCCAACACACACACACACCTCAAAAACATAACTGACTCCAAATACCAATAGAATAAACACACAATCTTGACGCCGATGCAGATGTCAAGACCAATATATACGCCAGAGCCAACGTCAGCGGCGGGGATAGTGTAGTCGTTTTAACTCTCTGTCTCCTTGACGAAACAAAACTATCTAGGATGTGTGTGTGTATGTGTGGAGGGGACGATTGGAAGGATGGGGTAGGTAGAGGATAGGAGGGGTGAGAGAGGGGTGACGCATTGACTCAGCTCAGTGGCAGGGAGATCCACAAAACATATTGAAATCTGAAGTTAATCCCACGCTCCAGTTCTTGCTTACCACAAATATCCAAACGCCTTTATCAACACATCTCTACTGAAGTTACGGCTTATTAATGTTTCCACGCACTCAAACCTCCACTAAGATTTCCTTAACTCAAGCCAAGTAGCTATGGATGTGTAAGGTATACGAGACTCCCAGTAGCTGAGATACGATGTGAAAATACAGCTCACTCTGCCAGTTTGTTGAAGTGTATGCTGAGGAAAACCCATTCATAAATCAATAGATTAAAGGGAAGCCAGCCGACACGTTGCCTGACGAAGGAGAACCCAACAAACACGTTTATCTGACGAAGGGTAACTCATCCAACATGTTACTCACTCGAGAGAGAATCTTACTAATATGTTACCAGGTGAAACAACAACAAAAAAAAAACACCTGTCAACACTGATGAAAAAACACCTGTCAACACTGATGAAAAAACATCCGCCAACACTTTATCTGGTGAAAAAACACCTGCCAACACCACAAGCCCCCAGCAAGCTACACAAACTCCTGTCGCGTCAGAAGCAAGAACCCCCAGCAGGTACAGCACAGGACAAGGCAGTACTCACCTTGCCTCGGCCACGCCCACGACCGAAGTGGGTGGGGATTTGGCTGGGCACCGAATCCCCAGACACACTATCCCGACTTTTGGTCCTCACCGTCACCTGCTTGGGCTCGAACCCGGGGATCTTCGTCAGGTCTATTAGGGCGTGATCACCTGAGGAAAGAAATATGTAAAATCTATTAGTGTGTGTTTTTGTATGTAATATTCTTAAGTTCGTTTTTTTCAGTTAAATAATTCGTACAGTTTTATAAGATATTACCATTATCATTATTATTACTATTATTAATGGGAGGAAAATAATAATAATAAACCCCAGGAAATGTTGTATAATCAGGCAAAGTGAAGTGAATTATATCATAAACAACTGGACATTAAGGCACCATCAATAAGTACATATAGCTCAGGTGAAAAACTTTAACGCTCAGGACATCATTAGCATATCACCCTTTACACCTGGACCCCGGTTCTTATAAGTCCCAGTCTTAACCCTGTAGATTTCCCCAGCCAGCAAGCTGACCTTAAAACCCATCGGGATTATGGGTTAGGTTAGGTAAGTACACACCTGTCGGGCTCTCCACCTCGGTGACTTTTTTGCCGTCGGCGTAGACAGCGTAGCCGGTGACAGGGGCGCCGTTGGAGGTGCCGCCGGTACTGTTGATGGTAACGGGGAGCCAGGTGACCAACAAGGAGCCATCCTGAGGGCCTGGCTCCACCTGCACGTCCACGGGAGGATCGGGAAGACCTGCGTGGGGGTAGGGGAGCAAAATACCGGTGTACTAGTGCTTGTCTCTCTACTCCGGATCATCTCGTCAATTAACCATCTCCAGGGATTTTTTTTTTGTCTTTAATTTCTCTATTTTGTCTCACTTTCTCTCACATTTTTCTCTCATGTGTATTGCTAGAATCAGGTAACATGGATCTGTCCTTGATTTTAAAGACCAGTTATTAGGTTTATATTGTGTTGTTATTGTTGAGGAAGGATAGGAAGATAATGCATGGAATATCTGTTTTGTTTTACTCTTCTTGGAATAGGTTTTATGGATGTGCCATTTCAAGACATAAATGGAATTGTTATTATTTTTGGAGGGGTGAGATAAATGGCTTTGTCTTTATTTTTGTTTACTTTTGTTGAGGTGGGGGTGGGGGTGGGGGTGGGGGGGTCTGATATATTGAACAGCCTTTTGGGGGTGGTGGTAGTAAGGGGGGGGGAAGATAAATGGAATATATTTTTTTTTTTACAATCTTTTGGGGTAGAATCGAACTTAAACTTTATATGAACTAAAACAGAGATAAATTATCAATGACAAATATTTCCAAGTTAAGAAGAATTATTTAAATGCTTTATAATCTCTTGTTAAGTCATAAAATCTGCAACATATTTTTTTTCCTCATCAGAACAAATAAAATAATCAAACAACAACAAACAACTAACTTGAATGAGACAAAAACATATTCACCTTCTTCCTGCAAATCACACACAAAGAAATCAATCAAAATAAATCCAAGGATCAAGTTTGGGATCATCCACAAGATATATTTTAATGCCTCAAAAACCAAAACAAAAACAGGTAAGCTAATTAACTATTTATCTCGTCTACCTAAAATGAGGTAAAAAGCTCTCAGATCATGACACTATACTGGTGAAAAATTTCTACGTTACGGTCCTCAGCCACTGCCAGGAGCCAACACAGCACTCGGCTTAAGTCTATGAGGTGAGGGAGTCAAGATATTGTTTATAGATTTAGAAACTTCCATATTTTTCATGGGAGGACTGAGCTATGGAGGATTAAATCATGGGAGGATTAAACCATAGGAGGACTGAGCCATGGGAGGACTGAGCCATGGGGGGAACTAAGCCTTGAGAAAAACAAACGAATTTTTCTTAATAAACTCTCGGTCAAAAAGTCTCCTAACTTATGGATAACAATGGAAGTCATAAATAAGAACATAAATACCTCAACTGTTCCCTCTTACACCATAACCTTAAACCAAGCACGAGTTTCAAGACAAGCCAAGGCATAAAAAAAAAAAAAAAATACGCTAAGACTTTGCATAAGGAAGCTTAGATTAAATCATGAAAATCTACGTATAATATCAAATAGTTTCATATATATTCCCAAGGATACTGGCTGAGTAGCTAAAATATTACCCCTCCAAAAAAAGTCTAAAACAAAATATGGGTAAGCACAGATTTCAAAAGGTAAAAAGACACATGCATGAGATAACAACGGTGAGGAAGGTTCAGTGGTGAGGAAGGTCAGTGAGGGGAGGAGGGGGGGGTGTAAATATGGTGCATTTTAAAGAGAAGGGGCGTAAATATGGTGCATTTTAAGGAGAAGGGGTGTAAATATGGTGCATTTTAAAGAGTCGGGGTGTAAATATGGTGCATTTTAAGGAGTGGGGGTGTAAATATGGTGCATTTTAAAGAGTGGGGGTGAGACTAGAATCACAGATGGTGCTCTTTACTATTAGCTAGTACTGTCATCGGTAGAAGGTATATAAGGATTAGCTAGTTGTCGATGGTAGGAACTTCATGTCATTAGTAGTCAGTTAGTGTTGTCAGGGAATTTTTCTCTTGTTATTACTGTGGTTGTCGATGTTAAAAGGAATTCAGCCTCTTAATGTTGTCGGTATTCGAACTGATGTGAGTTCTATAAGAGTTAGCATTAAGTTGTACTGGTAATGTTATCATCTCGTACTGGTAAAGTTATCATCTCGTACTGGTAATTGGTAATGTTATCATCAAGTCGTACTGGTAATTGGTAATGTTATCATCAATTACTGCCAATGTTATCATCAAGTCGTACTGGCAATGTTATCATCAAGTACTGGTAATGTTATCATCAAGTACTGGTAACGTCATCATCAAGTCGTACTGGTAATTGGTAATGTTATCATCAATTACTGCCAATGTTATCATCAAGTCGTACTGGTAATGTTATCATCAAGTACTGGTAATGTTATCATCAAGTACTGGTAACGTCATCATCAAGTCGTACTGGTAATTGGTAATGTTATCATCAATCACTGCCAATGTTATCATCAAGTCGTACTGGCAATGTTATCATCAAGTACTGGTAATGTTATCATCAAGTACTGGTAATGTTATCATCAAGTCGTACTGGTAATTGTATCTTCACTCAGTATTAAGAGACTTGAACAATACCCTGACCAATCAATATCCATAACATACATGTAATGTTCACTTCTTGATGGACTATATCCCCTGCCTGTGGGTGATGGCAGCTCAGGTTGTGAAACTTATCGCGGGAATAGACTAAACTCTCCTAACACAAGACGAAAAGAACCTCTCACTCTAAAACCTGATCATAAAAACATTTGAGCTTCCAATGACATTTTTCCAGACTAAGAGTGAGTGAATTATTGAATACTGACAACATTCAGAGGAAAACTTCTTAAAAGAATTGACTCAAGGTGAGAGGAAGGCGTTCGTACAACACCAGGAGGATTGGCAAGTGGATTATACTAAACTTTGTGCCAGACGAACGCAAGGTGAATTATTTACACTTTCGCCTCTTTCAAGGTGACTGGTTCGGTGACGTCAATTCATCTATATTGAGTTAAAAGAGTCGAGTGACGTCAATTCATCTATACTGGGCTATATAGAGTCGAGTGTAACCTAAAGACAAAAACGAAAGAAATAAATAGTATTAAATGAGATGGAGAAGCTGTTCAAGGTAGAGAGAACTACCTAACTGGGAGAGAATTAAATAACTCTGGGACGAACTGAGTGAATTAGAGAAGAAAATATCGAATCTGAGGTAAAAGTTCAATCAATAGACAACCATTTACTGAGCTAATGAAGAAATTGATGAGTTAAACGAGACATTGATCAGTTGGGAAGAAACGAATGAGTCAAGATGAACGAGTTTAAGGGAGGGGGGGGAGGAGTTGAAATGGATGGAAGAACGAGAGGGAGATGCCGGGAGGACTCACTCACTCAGGACAAGGACACTGGGCTCGGGAGGTGGTGGGAGAGGTGGAGAGGGTGAGGGTGGAGGAGAGGGTGAGGGAGGTGAGAGGATGGAGAGGTGAGAGGTGAGGGTGATGGAGGTGGGAGAGGTGGGGAGGTGGGGGGAGGGAGGGGTGGAGAGGTGAGGGGGGAGGTGGAGAGGGGAGGAGGAGGGGGTGAGAGGGAGAGGGTGGGGAGGTGAGGGGGTGAGGAGGTGGGGAGAGGTGAGAGGTGGGGGGAGGTGAGGGTGGGGAGGTGAGGGGTGGGAGAGGGAGGGAGTGGTGAGGGGAGAGGTGAGAGGTGAGAGGTGGGGAGGTGGGGAGAGGAGAGGTGAGGGGTGGGGAGGTGAGGAGGTGGGAGGAGGAGGTGATGAGGGGGGGAGGTGGATGAGGGAGGTGGGGGGTGAGAGGTGAGGGGTGGGAGAGAGGGGTGGGGAGTGAGGGGTGGGGAGGTGAGGGATGGGAGGTGAGGGGGTGGGAGAGGTGAGAGGGTGTGGAGGTGAGAGGATGGGGAGGTGGAGGGTGAGGGTGATGGAGGTGAGGGATGGGGAGGTGAGAGGGTGGGGATGGGTGGGAGTGAGGAGGGGAGGTGAGGGAGGTGAGGGAGAGGTGAGGGGTGGAGAGGTGAGAGGATGCGATGGGGCGGAGAGGTGGAGGATGGGGAGGTGATGAAGGAGGGAGGGGGAGGTGAGGGGAGGTGGGAGAGGTGAGGGATGGGAGGTGGATGGGGGTGGGAGAGGTGAGAGGGTGGGAGAGGTGGGGAGATGGGGGGTGGGAGAGGTGAGAGGGTGGGGAGGTGAGAGGATGGGAGGTGAGGGGGTGGGAGAGGTGAGAGGATGGGGATGGAGGGAAGGGGAGGTGAGGGGGTGGGAGGGAGGGGGGGGGAGGTGATGGGGGGTGGGAGGGGGTGGGAGGTGCGAGGGAGGGGAGTGAGGGTGGGAGAGGTGAGGGGTGGGAGAGGTGAGAGGATGGGGAGGGTGAGAGGGGGAGGTGGATGGGTGGTGATGTGATGGGGGTGGGGAGGTGAGAGGTGGGAGAGGTGATGTGAGGTGGAGATGAGGGGTGGGGGAGGGAGGAGGATGGGAGGTGGGAGGGTGAGGGGGTGGGAGAGGTGAGAGGATGGGGAGGAGGGGTGGGGAGGTGCGATGAGGTGATGGAGAGGTGAGGGTGAGAGGTGGGGAGGAGATGATGGGTGAGGAGAGGTGTGGAGATGTGGGGAGTGTGAGGATGATGAGAGGTGGGGAGGGAGAGGATGGGGAGGTGAGGAGGTGGGAGAGGTGGATGGAGGTGGGGTGAGGTGAGAGAATGGGGAGGTGAGGGGGGTGGGAGAGGTGAGGGGTGGGAGAGGTGAGAGGATGGGGAGGAGGGGTGCGGAGAGGTGAGGGGGGGGAGTGAGAGGAGGGGGAGGTGAGGGGTGGGAGAGGGAGGAGGGGGAGGTGAGGGGTGAGAGGAGGGTGGATGAGGTGAGGAGGGATGGGGAGGTGAGGGGGTGGGAGAGGTGAGGGGTGGGGGTGGGGTGGGAGAGGGAGGGGTGGGAGGGTGAGAGGAGGGAGGTGTGGGGAGTGAGGGGTGTGGGAGGTGAGGGATTGGGTGGGTGAGGGGTGGGAGGTGAGAAGATGGGAGGTGAGGGGTGGGAGGTGAGGGGGTGAGGAGAGGTGAGAGGATGGGGAGGGAGGTGGGAGGAGGAGGTAGGAGATGAGGTGAGAGAAGGTGGGAGGTGAGGATGGGATGATGAGAGGGGTGAGAGGTGAGGTGAGGGGTGAGGGGGTG